GGCTTTGAGTTCATTTCAAACCACTGCAAAAAATAACTGAGTAACAGAAATTAATTGCTGCAAAAAGCTTTGGACAATAGGTTGAAAATGTTCTCCTCCTTTCAGGTATCTGTGCACCTAGGATCCTTATGGAGCTGGAGCTCATCAGTTTGCCAGTGTCCACAGCACTACAGGTGATAGACGTTTTGAATATCAACCCTGAATATAAGCAATAACTAAATGTCTGCACAGTGGAAAGTCCTACTCTAAATTCCACCCCTTCAAACTCTGGCATTTCCTATACCCCTGTAGTCACTTCAACTTACTACTCCCAACTTCTACCTCATGCCCAGTCACTAAGAAGGACTCAAAGCTTTGCTGCATATGTATTCTGGATTTTCCCTCACTTCCTGATTTTAACCTCAGGAAACAAAAAAGGATTCATGTATATTCTTTATAAATCCCTAGTTTTATTATTTTATTTTTGAAAGATGTTTCGATGTCCTTACCACATCAGTGTCTCATCCTCAGACAAAAATGCTCCAAATTCTCTTTTCTGAATATGCTTCCTAGACTCTGTCTCCCCATTCCAGATGTTTGCCTTACTTGTCTCTTTCACCTTTGCCCTTCTTCATGGTTTATACCCACTTGAATCTCCATTTCCCCCTCTACCCTCCACGAACCACACTAAACTGTTTTCTGACATCACAACTTCACAGAGACTACATGTCTCTCAGTCCTCATCTGACACAATCTCCTCAGCATTTGTTCTTACTTTTGTACTTACATTTGTTCTCCATCCTGAAACTCACCCCCTGGTTGGCTTTCCTCTCACTTGTCTCTCCTAGAACCCCCTGTATCTTTCTAGTTGCTTCAGTTTTGGCTGAATCTTCTCAGGCCGCTGAAATCCAACCCCATAGCAATGGAGATGAGTGATGTAAAGTAGTCAAGAGGGGGACAGAGAGGCAGGGTTGAGGCAGGGGTTGGAGAAATCGGCTGCTGCAACTGGCATGGTTTGGACACCAAACCTGGGCTTCCACAACTTTACCTAACAGGGACAGAGCTAAGAGGCTTGATTAGGACAGTGAAGCACATCCAGGCATGTAGATGATAGAAAGGAGCCAAATAAGAAAGCACGTCCCAGGTAATTATTGTGGTCTATATAATTACATTGTTCTCAAAATATGAACCATGTGCTCACTTAAGCCTTTTTTTCTAAAAAACATGGGTACTCAATTTTGTGTATTTTTAAAGCTTTCCAAACTGAGGGAGAGGATGTTGAAAAAGTTTAATAAATCTCACCGTATAATAAAAATAACAATAACAACTTGTACCCAATCAATCTTAGCATTGTATATCATGATAATGTGATTTAACAAAGAGTATGTGGCAAGCCTTTATAGACTATAAGGACAATATAATTTTAGTAATTTATCCATTCAACATATATGTATTCAACTTCAATCTGTATGATGTATCTATAATGTAGCAGCCATAGTAAATTCATTATATGTAATTTTTATTCAAAAAAGAAAGAAAGAAAGAGGGAAAGAGGAAAAAAGAGGGAAAGAAAGCGTGCTCACCACCGTGCCGGCCAATGGGTCATAGAAGCGCTCCAGGAGCTGCACCACCGTGCTCTTCCCACAGCCGCTGCTGCCCACCAGAGCCAACGTCTGGCCCTTCTTCACCTGCAGACTCAGTCCCTGAAGCACTGGGATGTCTGGCCGGGTGGGATAGTTGAACTTCACTTCATTAAAGGTCACGTTTCCTTCCAACACATTCTACATTGAGAAGAGAAACAATGAATCTGATTGCTGCAATGCCAAAAGCACTGAGTAGGGCTAACCCAGTTAATTCTGGGTTTAAGAAAGAGTTGAACTCTATTATACTCTATTATTTCAAACTGTAGGAAATAAATCAGGTAGACAACAGTCTCTGTCTGTCTCTCTTCTTCCCTCTCTCTCTCTACATATATATACATATAGTTGTTATATATATACATATAGTTGTTTTATATATAGATATATATATAGTTGTATGTACATGTACATATATACATTTGTTTTGTTTTTGCCAGTCCTGGGGCTTGAACTCAGGGCCTGGGGCCTGTCCCTAAGACTCTTTGTGCTCAAGGCTAGTGGTCTACCAATTGAGCCACAGCATCACTCCCAGCTTTTTCTGAGTAGTTTATTGGAGATAAGAGTCTCATGGACTTTTCTGCCCCAGCTGGCTTTGAATTATGATCCTCAGATCTCAGCCTCCTGAGTAGCTAGGCTTATAGTTGTGAGCCATTGGTGCCCGGGCCAGTCAATATTTTTATGATATGGATTGTTAACACAAGAACCTACAATGTAAATGTGATAAATCTGCTCTAGAATAGTTACCTAGAAAAGGAAGTCTGATTATATGAATGTGCATATAGAGAAGGCAGTATTCTGATTTCCCTGTAAGTGTGTGAGATAAAGTACTGAATATTAATACATAGCATCAGCATTTATTAAAATAACACTGTGATCTAGATCTTATATTACCATCAGCACATATACATTTTATTAAATTTCATTAAATTTCCTCTTCACAGAGTTAGGAGTAAATAATATTCTCAAAGCATCACACTCACTGGCTTTAGGCCTTTTGTGCTGTAGCTGTCAATCTCAGGGATTTTTTCAATGAGCATGATGACTTGAGATGCTGATACTTGAGCTTTAACATAGTCAGGAGCAAAGGAACTGGCTGGCCCTACTGCCATGGCACCAAAGACAATAGCTGAAAAGACCCTGGGGAATTCAAAAACAAACAAACACAACGTGTCAATATTCTAAGGGCTGCAATGGTACTAAGCTGGTACTTTTGTACTCAGGAAACATTGCCTTAAGTAATTAGAAAGCAGATGAAGTAAAAGACATAGACTTTTGTCTAAAAGTTCATGAGATATGGATTGCAAAGTGGTTCATTATTTTCATATCTCTTGATAGTCTAGTCTTGTTACTATATGAATTTTGTAGCACTTCTGTTGAAGAAGTGGTTTTGTCTTCCTGATCTGTACTGGGCTTGTGACAAAGTTTGTACACTGTGGTGAATGCTATTGTTGATTTCATGCTGATGATACAGATTATCCTCTCTTTCTTTCAAAATAGGTGATGGTTCATGGCAGTTCAGATCCATGCTATACTAACCAGATGGGGAGAACTGACCCATAGATTTGGGGCAAAATGAATATTTATTATTTTGTGCTGCTGAGGTCTATTGGCTGGGTGTTACACAATATTATAGGGAAATTGACAATGAATATACTCTGTGGTGGTAGAATGACATATTCTTAGAAAATCCGTGTGCCATCTATTAATTATGTTGTGTCACCAAATCAGGAAGATCACACACTATATTTCACTATCAAACTGCATGTTTAAGGACTTTGTGGTTTAATTCAGTCCAAGTTCCTCTTCTCTCATTCTATTCATAGCAACAGTTCAGATTCATAGAATCCAGTTTTCATTTGTCATTTTTTAACTTTTCCACTTGTTATATTTCAAGTGATTTTTTGTAAATCAAGGAGTAGATTATTTATCCTGCTCTCTCCCAGAATTTGTAGAAGTCAGCACACAGCTTTACACCTTAACTGTTAGTAGGTGAGCCTTTACAAGGAGCCACTAGGCTCCTTGCTCAGTTAGGCTTCTTCTCAATGTCAAGGCCCTGTGGAGACTTCTGAATTGACTCATCCCTCCTAGCCACAGATTGGGAACAGTCAGGTTAGTGAGTCAGCACCAGGAAAAACAGAAGTTTTGGAAATGAAGTATACAACTTGGGGGAGGGGGAGAGGATCTGGGAAGGGAAAAACAAGAGAAAATGAGGGAGGAGGTGACACTGTTTAAAAAGAAATGTACTCATTACCTGACTTATGTAACTGTAACCACTCTGTTCATCACCTTTACAATAAAATTTAAATATAAAAAGAGAGAAGTTTACTGATTCAACTCAATGTCTCAAGGATGACATACAAAGCCTTGGAGGCCAAAATGCCCTTCTTGGAACCCTAGTGCATTGTTGGTGGGAGTGTAATCTTGTTCAACCACTTTGTAAAGTAGTATGGAGGTTCCTCAAAAAACCACATAGAGCTCCCCTATGACCCAGCAATCCCACTTTTGGGCATTTACCTGAATGATCACAAAGAAGACCATACTAAAGCTACCAACACAACTATGTTTATTGCAGCATTATTTACCATAGCTAAGATATGGAACCAACCCAGATGCCCCTCAGTAGATGAATGGATCAAGAAAATGTGGTATATATACACAATGGAATTCTATGCCTCCATGAGAAAGAATGACATTGCCCCTTTTGTTAGGAAATAGAAAGACTTGGAAAAGATTATATTAAGTGAAGTAAGCCAGGGCCATAGAAACATAGGTCCCAAGTTTTCCCTTAGTTACAATAACTAGTATATGTCTGGGACAAGCAGAAAAGTTCAGATAAGATGATGTTAAGTGAAATGAACCCCAAGATAGGGACACAAGTGTTTTTTTTCCTTTGTTGCTATTGTTTCTAATGTATTTATAAGGTACCATGTGGTTTTTTTTTGTTGCTTTGTATGTCCCTCCCCCATGGTGTAACCCCTGTTTTCACTGTATTTGATGTTGGTATAATTTGTGGAGGGGAAGGGAAAAAACAAATCATTTAAATAGGGATACAGGTTAACTCATTGCAACAATGAGATGTACAAGACACTATGTTGAAAAACGAACTTTACAATTTAGGCCAGGGGTGGGGGGAGTATAGTTGAGGAGGTGGGAGGGAAGGGATGGTAGGGGAAATCAAAAGAGGAGGCAACAATGCTGGATAAGAAATGTACTCATTACCTTGCTCATGTAACTGTAACCCCTCTGTACAGTATTTTCACAATAAAAAAATGCCCTTCTCTCCATCAGCAGGGTTGCTTCATAAACCCTCACCATAGAGATTTCAATCAAGACATGGTGCATGTGAATACCTTCTTTCCTTTGCAAGCATTAACCCAGCACTCACAACAGAACATCTTCAAATTCCATCACTTCACATGCTATCAAGTAGGCGCCAAACCGGAAACAGGCAGCACAGGAGAAGTACATCATTGCCTGGGTGAAGGAGAACGTGATTCCAAAGATGTGTGCTTTCTTCAGAGCATTTCTGAAAAGAAAATGTTTGAAAACTTATTCCACTTGCATAGTCTTCTCCTGTCTACCCTTCTCTTTTTTTCCAGTACTGGGCTTAAATTCAGTGTTTTGTGCTTTTCCTTAGCTTTTTTGCTCAGGATACACTCTACCGCTTGAGCCATACTCTCACTTCTGGCTTTTTGCTGGTTAATTAGAGCTAAGAGTCTCCTGGTCTTTTCTGCCCAGCTGGCTTCAAACTACAATCCTCAGATCTCAGTCTCTTGATTAACTAGCAGGCATGAGACAGCAGAGCTTGGCTCTCATTTCTTAGTTTTTAAAATGTAGTTGGATAGGTTGACAGAGGAGCACAGAAAAACAACCACAAAAATGGTCTTAGTGTCTAAAGGAATAAGTTATATCCTCCTTTTACTTCCAAGTCATGGGAATTTAGGAAACTACCTCATCTTGATGTTTCTCATCTTTAATGTAAGATTGATTACACCTGAATGTACTGGTGTAAAGATAAATTAAGCCTGTGAACTTCGTACAGAGCCTGTTGAAGATTAACAGATCAACATTCCCTCCCTTTTATCCAACTATTAAATATAGACATATGTCCTCTAGCAATTATTACTTACCCAGCACTCACAAGTTCACAGACCATGTGGCTAGCACAGGGCATGGCTCTGACTTTGGGGATTTCAGGGTTCTGTTGGGTCATTATTTATACATTGGAGAAACCACACCAATGATGTGCTATGGGAAGAATAACATGTAACAGGTGCCCCTCAGGCCCTCTCAGGTGCCTGCCTGAGTGTGAATGTCCCATTTATCTCAAGGTTAATTACAACTGCTTCTCAGTTGGATGCTTCCTGGTACTCTCTCTACTGCACTCTACTTTCTAGTCAAAATTATCCCTTTGAAAGCAAATATGGTGGTTGAAACATTTCTCATATTCTTGTCTCACTCTTCAGGGCTTCTTACCTGTATGGTACCTGCAAACTCTGTGCATACATCTGTTCAAACTTATGTTCCTGAGTCAAAGAAACCACAGTTCGGAAGTTTTCTATTGCTTCAGTAGCAATCTGCAATAGACATCCATGACAAAGAGGCCAAAGGGAAAATAGAGACAAAATTAATATGAATTTTATTAAATAGATTAATAAAAATTATGATTACAAGTCATCTATGTACCGTTTAGTATTTATTGGAGCATCTTCTCTATGGAAAAGTGTATTCAGTAAATTATTAGACTGAATTATACATCTGGAAAAGAGATGAACCTTCTTGAAACGAAATCACCAAGGGCACTTTCCTAAAGCCAAATAGTGTTATATACATTTGCAAAATTCCATTGTTAGATTTATCTCTTTTTTTCAGTCACATTTTATAAAATGGGCCTACTTTCTCAATAAAAGATATTGAAACATCCTTGAAAGAAGGAAGGAGACAGCAAGAGACATGATTTGGAGAGAAAATTGATGGTGGGAGAGGAAGAAGGCAGGAGAGCAGCAGAGAGGAAGAGAATACAGTGGGAACGCAATGGCCCACGACCAGAAACGTGTATGGAAACCCATGTCAGTCCTTGGGCCTAAGGATATGTTACTACTTTCATTTTGAATCTGCCAAACAAGCACAGAAAATACTGTCTTGAGGAATGACTATGAAACCATTCTCAGAGCATAACAAATAGCAGGGAATAACAAAAAAAAAAAACTGATAATATCTTTTTTTCATTTAAGTAAGCAATTTTATTTAGACTCACCTTCCCTGAAACTTCCAGTATCTGGTTATCTTTCAGGGCTTGTCCAGACAACATTTTCATCTGAATAACTCCTCCTATTGCCATGATGGGTACAATTGCTAACAGCAAAAGGGATAATTGCCAGCCATAGATTAAGGATATTACAATTCCTGTCCCAAGATTTGCTATATTCTGGGCAAGTAAAGCAAGCCTAGAACCCATTGCCTGGAAAACAAAACAAATTGGAGCCATATTTTTATACTATCTTTAACATTTATGCTTATATTTTTTTCTATTTATAAATGGTATAATCCAGAGTTTTATTTTCCAAAGTAGTTTAGAAAATTTGATTAACTCATCCTTGAAATGTATTCTTAATATTGACAATGTACTGCTATGAAAAACATTTTCTTAATTATTAAATACAAGTGAAACATTACTTGTAAAAAATTTGAGTTTCTAAAATGTAAATTTTGACGATCTGAAAAACTCAAAATAGAAGATTAATAATTCAGAATTCAGTAACATATTCCTCCTCTTCTTCTTTTTGTTGTTGTTGTTTGGTTTGGTTTAGTTTTTGTGCCAGTAATGGGAATTGAATTTAGGACCTCACACTCTCATTTAACTTTTTTGTTTGTTTGTTTGTTAAAGGCTGGTACTCTACCATTGAGCCACACTTCCATTTCCAGCTTTTTGCTACTTAATAGGGGACTAGTCACTGAAATTGTTTGCCTGAGCTGGCTTTGAACTTTGAATCTTCAGATTCTAGCCACTGAAGTAGCGAGAATTATGCAGTGAGCCACCGGCAGCAGGATCTTAATTTTACTTTATTATCTGAAGAATAGTCACTGAAGCAAGGTATACAAATTAACAAAGTGAAGGAGTTTGATAGTTATGTTATAAGGGGAATGTGATGGGAGCCAGGGACTTCTGTTCCCTGAGAAACAGTTTGAAACCTGTTTCCTCTGCCTCAAGACCTTAAGACAGCAAGTGCCATTAGGTTGTAAAGAAGGCATAGTTGGTTCCTGTAGCCTTTGAAGCTAGAACAAAGACCTCAGGTAACTTCATTTGCAAATCATACATCTTCATGTAAATTGGTGCGTTGGCATCATTCTGTAGCTAGTGCTTGCTTGCTGCTTACCTTTACTTTGTGCAAGTGCCTGTATATATAAATGTGCTAAATTAAGGTGTGTGCTGTTTCAGTCTCCAAGACCTTAGAATGCTGACAACTCACCTGGTCCCAGATTTCCCTATTATGTGTGATGGTGTGTCTTTTCCTAAACTTCCTACTGTCTTCCCAGTCTTCCCTTAGAGATCTGGGTGGTTTGTGGCAAGAATGGTATAAATTTCCAATATTAGGTATGTAACTAATTGTAATTTAGCCTGAAATTTGTTTTTAAACATATTCAAATATATCTGGGCCTATATAAAGTCCTTATGATGATTAATTTGACCTATTCCATTTGGAAAATAATTCATGCATTAGGAAGCTACGGAACTTAATTACATTAGGCATATATAAGAATATTCCAAACAATCAGGGACTTTCTAGATTTTCCATTGAAAATAGAATAGAAATATTTTAGCGGTCTCAGAACCACATACCCAGCTGTGTCTTCTCCGTTCTCTTCTGCCCCTTCCTATCATGGTTTGGTTCCCCCCATGCTCATAAAGTGGTATAAGCACCTTCACATCATTACCCATGCGAAATGCTCAGCCTCTTACAAACTTACAACCAAAGGTCATTTGATGATCTGTGTTGCTGACTCCCTAAAACTCTGTCTTGAGAGGCTAAGCATGTGGCTTAGGGGTAGAGTGCTTGCCTAGCATGCATGAAGCCCTGGGTTTGATTTCTCAGTACCACATACACAGAAAACACCAGAAGTGGCGCTGTGGCTCAAGTGGTAGAGTGCTAGCCTTGAACAAAAGAGGCTTCAGGACAGTTCCAAGGCCCTGAGTTCAAGCCCTAGGACTGGCAAAAAACAAACAACAAAAAACCCACTCTGTCTTGATTGCGTCTCTCCCTCCTCAGCTATCCCTCACTGTTCTGTACTGTCTCCGCCTCATAGCATTAACCTCAACATTTGGAACTTGTTCATTGTTGACTACCTCATCCAATCCCATGGCTTTCAAAGCAACTATGGCTATGTGCATAGTTCACATGCTAGAATGCTTGCCAAGCCATCAGGAGGACCTGGGTTAAATCTTCATGTCTACCAAACCCCCAACATGTTACCATTAAACTGAAAATTTTCCAAATGTCTTTTTTTCAGACCAGAACTCTGGTCTACTTCCAGACTGGACTTCTCTAGAAAATACAGGCATACAAAGCTACATGTCTATCAGAATATCTAATGTGGGCTTCATAAACTTACCGAGACCCACATAAAACTCTCAGTTCTCTCCAAGCCTACTTCTCCAATAGGTTTCTAATTTCATGAAAAGTGAATCACAATTTCTCAGTTGTGGAGGTGAAACATTTAAAACCATCCTCCATTTTCTTTCTCTTATCTTCTCTTATCTAATCCAGTCAGCAAATTTACATTTTATTGTTACTTGTGGCATATCAACATTTATCTTTCCTCTGTTGCATTATTGTAATGGACTCTCTCTTCCTTTGTGTGTTTTTCTAGATCCTGTTGACACACCAGCCAAAAAGATCCATTCAACAATTCAGATCATGACAGTCCTACATGAAATCCACAATCATTTTCCACCTAATTAGCAATACAATGCTGACCACAACCCCACCCTCCTTGCTATTTAAGGAATAAATGTTCCAGCTTCAGAGACTTTTCACTTGCTGTTCTTCTAGTCACAGCACTCCTAGACACCTGTGGGGATCATGCCTTTCTTTTTCTTAGGCCTATTGCTTACATTGCCAAACCACTGAGTTCTTCTTGATAACCATGAAGCTCCTTCCCCCATATCCTGCTTCTACTTTTCAAACAGCACAATTTGACAATCTGATATACAAGATAGAGTCTATTAGAGCACAACTTGGGTCCATTCCATGGAGTTCACAATTATTACATTGACAATCTGAAATACAGTGAAGACTCCATTATGGAAAGACCAGTTTTTAGTTGAGGAAGTTCAAAGTTATTTAAGTCTGTGCATATCGTGTTCTTTTATGTTCTACACAACCTTATTTAATCTTGATTTTTTTTTTTTAGTTACTTGCTTCAAGCAAAAAAATATTTTGCAACTTCTATGTGTTTCCACATTTATATTTTAATTCACTTTCTGGAAGCCTAATCTATGAACAGTAAAACTGTCATAGTGATTTTGCCTTCTGGAAAGACTGAAACACAGTCTGATGATCCTGAATGATGTGCTCAATAATGTTTTTTTCTGAATTATTTTTTATGTGCATCATAACAATATTATGAATAACATAGCTATAGAAAGAAAACTTACACATTATTTAAGCCCTACATGGGGTATAATCCCTAAAGAGTTTGTACTTTTCTATCAAACAGGTGATAAAATTAGGAAGTTAGACAGTGCTTTGTGTGTTTTTTATAACAATGACCATCACCATGATGATGATGATAACGACGACTATGATGATGATAATGACAAGTGCAATGAGAAAGTGAGTCTTGCCCTGAGGGAATAAAGACAAACTCTAACAGCAAGGAAGCACTTACCCCTTTCACTTGAGCAGCATCATTGGCAAGTCTGGTAGTCAGTGCTCCAGTGGTGTTTCTGGGGTCATCGAACCAGCTCACATCCTGTGGAACACAAGAGTTTTTATTCTTTCTTTCCCTTCCTTCCTTCCTTCCTTCCTTCCTTCCTTCCTTCCTTCCTTCCTTCCTTCCTTCCTTCCTTCCTTCCTGTCGTGGGGCTTGAACTCTGGACCTGGGTGCTGTCCCTGGGTCCCTTCAGCTCAAGGCTAGTGCTCAACGCTTGAGCCACATCACCACTTCCGGTTTTGAGTGGTTTATTGTAGATAAGAGTCTCAGGGACTTTCCTGCCTGGCTTTGACCTGTGATCTTCAGATCTCATCCTCCTGAGTAGCTAAGATTTCAAGCGTGAGCCACTGGCGCCCTGTCGGTTTTTAAATTGTCTGCTCTAAACTTGTGGAGGAAAGTGACATGCTCAGTTTTGTCACTCTCCGGGCATCTACCTCCACAGCCCTACCTGTCTCAGCATGGATCTGAAAACCATGTACCGCAGCCGCCTGGTGAGGATTTCTCCAGCTTTGCCAAATGTGAAGCCCTACGAGGAGTAAAAACATGCCAACACAAAAGACAAGTCAGAAACATGGACACCTTTTGTACAAAAAGACTGGATTTGAGTTCATTGCTGAGACAAAGTCATGATTTCCGGGGTTGGGTTGCTGCATTTCGGTGAGCATGCGCTATGGCGCAATGTGCAGACTTCACTGGTGATCAGGACAGCAAAGCTTGCCTTTGGACCCGACTCTGCTCCTCCCAGCCACTTGATGGGTTGACCAGGGATTTATTACGAGTGTGTTCCTTTGTCCACCCCTCCCCCCGTCCCAGCCTAACTTCCTTCTTCAGTGAACAAGGTCTGTGTCTACAAGTGAGGACGCTGGTATTGTTCCCAAAGCAGGTAGTACTCAAGACAGGGGTCTACAGTTTGTATACTGAGACTGAGGCTTGAAGTATAATATGAGAGAAGAGGAATTAGTAGTCACCCCAACCATCAATGTTGTAGATGACAAAGGTATCAAAGGTTTGGGATTTAAGAGGAGAACTCCACAATTTTGGAGAAAAAAATGTTGAGGAAGAAGCCTGGCTGCCAGAAAACGGTCTGTACTCAATCCCCTCCCACTCCATGCCTGGGAGGAGGGAAGAGTGACTTTGATGAGATGTAGCCTGAGAGCATGCTGCTATGCTAAACAGAGAAACGGAGGAGGCAGCCATACCTACTTTGTACTCGCAACTAGTGTACTAGGCATTCCTGAGAGAGCGAGGGAAGCAGCACTGCAGAGAGCACGAGTGAGTAAAAGCCAGCTCCTCCAAGTGGTCCCGGCTAAGGGCACCGTGGAACTGAAGGCCAGGTGGTGCCTTGGACCCATCACATCGCTACAAAAAGTGCGTCCCATGGCTTTGCACGCTGTACTGTACTGCTACACCACCTGCGCAGCCGCACAGTGGCCATGCATGAAAGCAGAGGAGAAAGATAATGTCCTGGATTAAATGATGTGTGCCAAAGACTCTTACTGTTTATTATATTCACCTGGAAATGATCACAGAAAGGTTTCTACTGTCGGAACAAATGGAACATGAAGTTTCTTCCTTGCCTCAGGAAAATGACTGCTATTATTTTTCTGAATGCTACCTTACTCTAACACTGTACTTTGTGCACATTAGCTTATTAAATCCTTAAGGCACCATGCTTCAGAAAAAAACAGCGTTAGCGAGGATGACAGGTTGCCAAGGGGCGATTACATAAGGCTGTAGAGCTAGAATCTGAATCTAGGCCTTTTGAGAATTGTAATGAGAATCAGACTGCAGACTCTGAGTTCTTATCCTACTTAGCTCCTTGCTCCATTTGACAGGCATGCCAGGCTTAGCTCTTCCCAACTGTCAATGCTGAAGTGACCAACTCAAGGCTAGCTCCAAATTCCTTACCATCTAACTTCGCACAGAGGAAGCTTTACCTTCTCCAAACTCCTGAGATATTAACAATTGGTGTGACACTTCTGTGTGTAGTTAAATGTCCCATGTATTCTAGCATGGTTCAACTCTTCCATGGAACTTATTTAATAAACAAAAAGGCTCATTTTCTCCTATGCCTCCTACACAGTCTATAAATATATCCTATTTTATATGGGTGAAATAAGAAACCTATTCAGAGTCAGGTAAAAAAAATCATATGTAGCTAATCTCTCTCTCTCTCTCTCTTTCTCTTTGCCTTTCATGGGGCCTGAACTCTGGGCCTGGGCACTGACCCTCAGCTCTTTGGCTCAAGGCTAGTGCTCTACCACTTGAGCCACAGCACCACTTCTGGCTTTTTCTGCTTATGTGGTGCCGAGTAATTGAATCCAGGGCCTCATGCATACAAGGCAAGAACTCTACCACTAAGCCACCTTCCCTGCCCACTAATCTTTTTTTATTGTTATTATAAAGGTGCTGTACAAAGGGGTTACAGTTTTGTAACTGATAATCTCTTGATTCACTGACAAGTAATTCTTTACTACTGCTTTACAAGGGCCTGGGCACTTGTCATATTATCTTAATCATCAAGAGACAACAGTAATCCTACTTAACACATAAAGAAACTGAAGATAAGACAGTTTAAACAACTTATTTTTTCAGTGACACATAATTGAGTGCATGTACAAGTAATAGCAAAACTCAAGTCTAACACCAAACCCACACTGTACTGTCTATCCATTCCAAACATTTATATATATATATATATATATACATATATATGGACAAGTACATATGTATGTATTTAGCACCCGTACTTATAATTGAACTTGGGGCCTAATGCTCGTTCTTAAGTGGATAAAATTATAGACATGAGCCACCAGCACCTGGCTACCATTCCAAACTTTTCTGAATATTTTATCCAAATCGTATATATAAATATATAAGTTGACTGTACAAATATTTCTTACAGATATTTTTTGAATGTTGATATTCTTTCCATCATTTAGCTGAAGCTGAATGAGAAAGTTTTCAAAGGAAAATGACCTGTACATTTATAAATTCCCCCATTAAGGAAATTAAGGAAGATATTTACCTGAAGGAAAAATGTAATAAAAGAAACAATTCCAATGAATAGAAACATTAGTGAATACAGGTTACTATTCTGTCTTTTCCTTTCAGGATCATCATTTGTTGCAAAAACCTGAGAAAATATTTAAAGGGTTGTTAGTTCAATCACTGAGGGAATTGTTCTAGATCTAACTCCATTCCTTTGGTCACAAGTTTTGGGGTTCAATGGAGTTGTAATATACTAGAAAACAGTGTTGGCTGTGGAACATGGATGCCCTTAAAGGTACCTACATTCTTCCTCCTTAGAGACTAAGACAGACCAAGGTGTCTGTCACAAATTGACCCAATTTGTGATCCAAACTGATGCCAACATTTTCCTCTCCTTGATGGGTAACTACATTGTATGGCAGTGCACTGAATTGCTTTGTGGACATTTCAAACTGTCCTGAGGTATATGGAGAGACTCTGGCAAGGAGCTTTTACTGACAGGGAGATGTATTCATTCACGCAGCCTTTCAGAAAGAAAGGAGCTTCTTCAGCCAGCATTCTTTGTTGGGTGGCCAGTTAGAAAGCTGTCTGGGAACCACAGCCATTGAGAGAACACCACTTGTTGGAACTTTTTCAGAGATGGTTATAGGACTAAAGAACATTTTGGATTTAGGAAGAATGAACACAGAGAATATTTACTCCAGAAGGGAAGAAAATATTCCCCACCCCGATCCCCTCCCTCATTACAGAAGAGCTCATTCTTAACTCAGAGAAACAAAGAGGATGCTTAGAACTCAGTGTTGATGGTTATGAAACAGTCTACTGACCAGCTTCATTGACTTTTTCAGGGAACTGAAATCTAAAGACTTAAGAAACCATCAGGGGCCTAGACAGAACCCAGGACAAAGGAATGTTTACAAAACTAATGTTCCTTTCACAAACCAGATTTCTATTCTTACGTTTGTAAGCCTGATGATTTCACATTAAGAGTTTTGTGTTACATATGCATAGGGATGCAAATAGTTATTCATTGTTTAGTCAAGACTCACTGGTAGATACAGAAAATAGGTATAAACTCTTACCGCGATAATCTTTGAAAATATAACTGCAAATGCTGGTTGCATACTTCCATTTATAATGGCACACAATACACCAACTACTAAATAAGGCCATTCAGTTAAATTCAACTTTAGAATCCTCCAAAAGGAAACAGGAGGAACATCTTCATCCTAGAAAACATGGAATATTATTAGCAATTGCAGTTTAAAAAGAATGTGTCATGGATTTTATGCTGTGTGGTTCTTCCATAGGCATTTTTTTTAAGGATTAATATATCCCATCCTTATCCCTCAGCAGTGGATGGCTATTTAGTTACAAAAACAACATTGACAGAGTCTGTTACAGTAACTTTTTATTATTTGACAAATCAGGGATACATTTTTTGTTTGCAATAATGGAATTTGAACTCAGCACTTCCTACTTGCTAGGTAGGCCTTCTAGCACTTGAGCCCTTCTTGCTTTAGTGGTTTTCCAGACTGCATTTCACTTTTTTTCCTTCTATTCAGCTGCCTTCAGACTATGATCCTCCTACCATTAGTCTCTCCAAGAATTACAAGCAGAATCCACTGTGCCCAGCCTCCAATTAAATAATGCTCCTACAAACAGTTACTATTGGCTTGCCATTCAGAAGATGACAAGAACATTTATGAGAAATCTTGAACTTCTAAACAGAATTTTAATTTTATATTTGAAAGCACAGTATAATCTCTGTAAATTAAAATTTTTAATTCTAAAAATTTTAAATTAATTCTTATTCTTAAGTTCTAAACTGTAGAAATATTGACATTTGATTTCCAGAAATAACTGGAAGACTCTAGAAAACAAATTCTTATTCTTATTCCTACCCCAGTCCCAGCCCATACTGCTAGGAGAGACACTGGGACATAAAGCTCTACACCCTCATTCATACCAGGGTGTCTTTCAAACTAAGTTTTCTGTCATGGCCTTGTGGCCCTTGAATACTCCGGCAGGTCGATCTTCTTCGTAGGCTAGATTCTGGATCTTTTGAGGACATTTCCAAGGCATCAGAATCACTTCTGGATTCACAAACATCCTTTTCGAATTCACTTTTATATCCCTCTGTCTAAAAAGAACAAGAAATATGCATAAGCTGATGAGACCTATTTAACCAGTGAAATTTTCTCAATGAACTTCAGAAACTAAAGAAATGGTAATTGGTTTAAAAAATAACAAGACAAGATGAAATTAAACTGCTATTTCTTTATGTGTGCTGTATCAAAAAGGAAAACCAATAAATAAGAATGATTTCCACTGAATATACTGAAATGACAGAATATCCTTTCCAAGTATCTTTATAGTTATCCACTTTCTATTGCTATTGGACTTAATCAAGTTTGTTTTGAATCAAAGCTGGCAACACAAATATGATATATACCAGGGTGAATCACATTTGAAATTCTCTAGAAGGTATATTTGAAACTGTGAAAAGAAATATGGAAATAAATTTTAATCATATATAATGTAATCTAACATATCCAAGTTATTATTGATATGTAATGACATTGTTCTGTCAACATGTGATCAACATGAAAGACTGAGATACTTTGTGCTTCTTTCTACTAAGCTTTCAGGATTTGATGTGCATTTTCTCTTTTTAGACTTCACATGCATGTATATTGTATGTTAGTCATATTGACCTTCTCTACTGCTCTCTTTTTCCCTTTTCACCTTACCCCACTCTTGAACAACAGCTCAAACCCAAATGTTCAGCAGCCCCATGTGACTGCTAGCTGATTTAGGTCAATTTTAAAACTTTTCCTTAATTATCTTTATTTAGGATATTTCTGTTTTTAAGAAAAGAATCTAAAGCCAGGAGCCAGTGGCTCACGCCTGTAATCCTAGCTACTCATGAGGCTGAGATCTGAGAATCGCAGTTCAAAGCCAGCCCGGGCAGGAAAGTCCGTGAGACTCTTTTTTTTTTTAAATAATTTTGTTTTATTTGTGAACATACTGTACAGAGGGGTTGCAATTGCATGGGCAGGATAATGCGTACATTTCTTACCAAGCATTGCATCCTCCTCCTTTGTTTACCCTTCACATCCCTTCCCAGCCTCCCCCCTCCCGTCTGTGAGACTCTTATCCCCAATAATCCACTAGGAAACCAGAAGTGGCGCTGTGGCTCAAGTGGTAGAGCACTTGCTTTGAGCTGAAGAGCGCAGGGACAGCGCCCAAGCCCAGAGTTCAAGCCCCATGGCAGACCAAAAAACAAACGGGGTGAGGGGGAGAGAAAGAATCTAAAATACCAGCCTATTCCTCAGTATCCTAATTACTTTTTCCTACTTTTGAAGATAATCAAACCAAGCAACATTTACCTTTAGCATTAAATATAGCAATATCAGCTTACTGCAAAAAACAATTTTTTTTCAGAATTAAAGTGCACCTGCATCATGACAAGTTTGTGGTAAATGCCTTTCTCTCTCATGAGCTGCTCGTGATTTCCTTTCTCCACAATGACTCCACCATCAAAACCAGCAATGACATCAGCATTACGAACTGTAGACAAGCGATGAGCTATCACAATAGTGGTCCGCCCTTCTCTGGCCTAAAGAGACAGAGATGATTACATTACTCATTTACATCTCAAAACTCACCTACCCAACTAACATTTACTAAACATGGACATTTTGTAGGTTGTACAAACATCAAAGGAATAAGGAGATCGTCTCCAAATGGTAACAGTATAGTCAATTGCTAATGGTTTAAAATGTTTTCACTATAGTAAATTTAAAGACAAATATCACATGTGCATATTTTAAGATTATTTTATACTTCTTGTTTTACTGAATATTTATCCACTTAAACTTGTAGTAATTAGTGTTTAATACAAAACTGAATAATCAAGGCATTGATCATTCAAAACCAACAGGTCAAGGAAGTATATTTATGTATATCAGCTAGCATCAGTCCTAATAATAATAACATCCTCTATCTCACAAATATAAGGCAACAAAGTTTAGATACCAGCATCATATTGCCTTTGATTTAAATCTAGGTTTACCACTATGAACCCCAGATGTTTATCAAAGCTTTAAGACAATTCAGAGGTATAGATACAGGTTGGCCTATAACTGACATCCTATCTGTGTGCGGCTGTTTACTCATGTGTAAAATGGAGACAAGGTGAGTACTGCTAGGGTGGCTCTGTTCTTATGTGGTAAACATAGGAACATAGTACTATACTTGTACACAGAAGTGCTGCTTATGATGTGATACTTGTTCCTACATATAACATATTAAGGAAAAAATACAGATCTATGTAAAAGTTTTCAAATGCCCCATCTTGTTTTTAACTTGACATAGAACAGAAACTTATGCAAAATTTCTTTAGCCTGTATAACTCTCAATGTGAATAATTTCTGTTATTCTGTATTTCTCACCAGTACCAAGCAAGAAAATTTAAAATAAACACACATAAATGTATGTGAGGGTTGGTATGGGGGAAAAAAAGCAAGTGAAAACCCCTGAAGAGGAAAATCATATTTGAGAAAATTTTGGTGGGAGTAATAAGAAAGTGGATTATTTAATAGGCAAATGGTGCCTGTTTCTAACAAAACGGGCCTATGGTCTCAAATTTATATGTTAAATTAAAAAAACTTGAGTAGAACCTTTGAAAGTTGTTTTTATTTATAACTTGATACATAATTCCAATATGTTACAGTAAGAAAATGCAGATGAGCAAAGGATGAGGAAGCAGATGTGGAATTACAGCTGAGAACAATGAAGGGGACCAAAGCAGCTAGAGTTCCATTGGCCTTTATTTTAGTTCTGCTTTCTGTTCCTCACTCAGTGGTTTATGAAGCACATGATACAATATGGACAGGAACATACTGCATTGTCTTAGTAGGCAGGAAAGGGTCAGAACAGATATGATTGGTCTCTGAGACCAACAGCCACAGCTCAACCCAAAGCACCTTTGGTAAGAAGGCTTGTACATTCTGGGCCTTCTCAGAGCTGGTCTGCTGACCATTATATACTGGACTAAGCTTACAGTGTCTGCATAGAGCAGGCTTTCAGTTGCTGCTTCTTGGGTAAGTCTTATGGGTCAGTGCTATTCAAAGTGAAAACTCTGTTTACAGGCTAGGAGTTTGTAGCTAGTTTTCAACATCTCACGTTCTCTGCTCCTCTCTTGGGAGGAACAAGTTTTTTATTTCATTAAATATGATCCTGCAGATGGTATTTTCCTCTTGTTGATAAAAGCTAAAAGCTGTTGAAACTTGGGTAACAAGATTATCCCAATAGCTATGTTTTCAATATCATGACTATGGCTGATTTTCATGTAAGCCATTATTTCTTATTCTTTAAAAGAGTCTTGAAATGGAAATGTATTTATTGCTATTTAGAAAAGATCAGAAAAAATAAACATAGATTGAACGGAACCATCAGGAAGCTATCAGGCATTTCTCTTTTAAGTAAAGAAATTTATTTCCAAGTAAAGAAGAATGAGCAGAGGAAGGCCTCTATTTTTCTTAAACAGTTGGTTTCATCTGGGCTTACAGACCTTATCCAGAGCCACCTGAACCACAGCTTCACTTTCTGTGTCCAAGGCCGATGTGGCCTCGTCCAACAGGAGGATCTTAGGGTTGCGAACCAGGGCACGTGCTATGGCGATTCTCTGCTTCTGTCCACCACTCAGCTGGGCCCCTCTCTCTCCAACCAGGGTGTCAAATTTCTGCAACAGCAAAAGGACAGGAGTACATTGTATTCACAAAATGTTGTGTTGAATTGAAACCCCTTTGCTTTGTACAACTACTTAGGGGTAATAAAACTAAAAGAAATTTTGAAGAAAGAGAAAGAGAAGGCAACAGGGGAATTTTGGCAAAGCAATAAGTTATCTCAGGTCTTTGTAACAAATATATTACTTTAAAATTTTTATCTGTCACAGGGCTTGAACTCAGGGCCTGGGTGCTGTACCTCATCTCTTTTGCATGCTACTACTTTAGGCCACACATCCCTTCTAATTTTTGAGTGGTTAATTAGAGGTTAGAGTCTCACACGAGCCTTCCTAGGCTGGCTTTGAACCAGATCCTCAGATCTCAGCTTCCTGAGTAGTTAGGATTATAGGTGTGAGCTACCAGCACCCAGCTCAGTCTATATTTTAAATTGGAAAGTAATTCCCTAGACCATTTCAGTCCTACCAGCAATACAGTCTAGCAACAACAATCCCAATTTAAAAACAAGTATGTCCACCACTAGATGCTACTGCTAGAGTTTCAGAACCCAAAGACATCTTGACTTCCCCTTTAGGGTGTTTTCCAATGTAGCAGAGTTTCTTAACTGTGATGATTGCAGTAGGCCAGAGCTCTGTTCTGTGCATCTCTGAATGACAAGGACAAAGACAAGGGCAAGCAGACTCACATGGGGCAGTTTCATAATGAAGTCATAGGCATTGGCTTCCTTAACAGCTTTCTCAATCTCATCCATGGTGACATTTTCACGACCATAGCGAATGTTTTCTGCTATTGTGGTGGCAAACAACACGGGTTCCTGACTCACCACACCAATGATTTCCCGCAGATATCTCACGTTTATGGTCCTAATGTCCTGTCCATCAATACTGACCTGGAAGTTTAAAACAAGGGTGATTTTCTTTCATTTCTAGCAGACATTAGCACTGGAGTGAGGTGTGGTGGTCCCTGCTGATGGCTGTGGGTCTAACTCACCACGCCCTCTGTGGGATCATAGAGCCTCTGGATCAGCTGCACTGTCGTGCTCTTCCCACAGCCACTGTTCCCAACCAGGGCCACTGTCTGTCCACTCTGCACCTTCAGGTTGAGTCCCTTCAAGATCTACCAAGTTGAGTGAGAAGTAAGCATTAAGACAACTCCGAGATACAGACACAGAGTGTGAACTAACACCTCCATCATTCAAATACAGTTTTTCCTTTTAAAAATAATCTCTAATGGAAAGTATCAGAAATTCTTCATCAAATAGCTTAATTATTTGTCATGGTACCTTAACTTCCTTTCGAGATGGGTAACTGAAATGAATATTTCTGAATTCCAAATTTCCCTTGATATTGTCTGGTCTGTGTCCACTTGTTGAGAAGCTGTCGATACTTGGCTTCTAAACAGATGAAAAATATTAGAAGATTACTACAGTAACAAGTTTTCAATGATAATTTGTGCAAAACTAGATAAAATGAAAACTAGTTTGGTTCTCAACTGCAATGTCTTTTATGTAGATGGGTAAATGGCTATGTGAGACTTACATTATCAATGATCTTGAAGACTTCATAAGCTGCACCTCTGGCATTTGCAAATGCTTCAATGTTTGGAGTTGCCTGTCCCACAGTAATAGCTCCAAATAGTACAGAAAAGAAGACCTAAAGAAAGAAAACAAAAATCCATTAAATGTCCTCTTGTTTATGATGATTCTTTCCATACTTCCTTGCTTCCAACTTAACCAATTCTATTTTTTAATGGCAAAATAAAGATACGGGATATTAAAAATACTGTAAAGTGGTTGAACAAGTTTACATCCCACCAACACATAGAGCTCCCCTATGACCCAGCAATCCCACTTCTGGGCATTTACCCAGACAATCACAAATAAGACCATACTAATGCTACCAGCACAACTATGTTTATTGCAGCATTATTTACCATAGCTAAGATATGGAACCAACCCAGTTGCCCCTCAGTAGATGAATGGATCAAGAAAATGTGATACACACACACACACACACACACACACACACACACAATGGAATTCTATGCTTCCATCAGCAAGAATGACACTGCCCCACTTGTTAAGAAATGGAAAGACTTGGAAAAATTATATTAAGTGAAGTAAGCCAGATCCAAAGAAACATAGGTCCCATGGTTTTCCTCATTTGCAATAATGAGTTTATGTCTAGGATAATTTTATCAAATGAGCAGAAAAGCTCAAAAGCTATGTGTATATCACCATATAAAATGGTTCTAGTGAAATGAACCCCAAGATATGGACACAAGAGGTCTTTCTTTGTTGTTGTTGCTTTAAATGTAGTATGTGATTTTTTTTTGTTTCCTTTGTATGTTCTTTCCCCATGGTATATCCTCTAGTATCACTGTACTTGATTTTGGCACCCTGCATCTTGTATATACATTTGTCTAGTTTGGAAGGGAAAGGGAAATAACAAGATGCTGAAACAAGGACACAGGATGACCCACTGCAACAACGATACCCACAAGACACTATGTTGTAAATGAACTTTACAACTTCCGTGGGGCAAGGAGTAAGGAGATGGAGGAGGGAAGGGATAGTGAGAGAACAACAAAGGGGGGGGGTAACAATGCTTGACAAGAAATGTACTCATCGCCTCACTCATGTAACTGTAACCCCTCTGCGCAGCATCCTTACAATACAATAAAATTTTAAAAAAGAACTAAAAATATAAAAATACTCTAAAGCCAGACACTGGTGGCTCACATCTGTAACCCTAACTACTTGGCAGGCTGAGATTAGCAGGATTGCAATACAAGGCCAACTCAGGCAGAAAAATTCATGAAATCCTAAACCAGTAACTGGGCATGGTGGTGCATATCACTTATTCTAGCTACATGTATCTCACTGATTCAATAGTCATTATCTCCCTTATAACATGGAGTCTGGCCACACCATTCCTGTCAAGCCTAAGAGGGAGCAAAGGCTTGAAGAGTTTTGGAGAAATATCATAGGTGGAATTTGAATCAAATGGGCATGATGTAAGATCCTGCACTCAGTCTTTCAAATGCCTCCAGATTGTGAAGCAGACTTTGTGCTCAGAAAGCAGTGGACTTAACTGCTAGGGCTAGGGGTGTAACACAATGTAAGAGGAGCTTGCTAATGATATATTAGTCCTTAGGTTCAACTCAGCAGCAGCACAAGTAATATGTAAAATAAAATAATGAAGTAAATAAGTTGCTAATCCAGGTCAACATTAAGCAGTGCACATACCATGAGAAGCTAGGCTCACCCACAGCATCACTATCCTAGAAAGCATTTTTCTGGTAAAAGCTAAATGAACAGCCTCACAAATGTTCGCCATGGCAACAGTTTAAAGAAATCTGAACTAAAACTAATACTGTACTAATGATTGTCATGTAGTTTTCATCTCTTCACATTACAAATCTGAATCCAAGAAAGGAAATTGTTTTAAGAGACTCAAAGAAAAATTACTACGTTACCATTAAAGAATGACTCTTCTATGGGAAAACCAGTCCTTCTATGGGAAAACCAGTCCTTCCAATTTGAAAGGCAGATCACCATCTTGGTAGCAAGAACAGCCAGGCTGGCCAAAGGCCAGGGTCTTCATTACAAACTAATGTAACAATGCGATACTGTCAGAACTGTTAACATTTCCTCCTGGTGAACCTAGCAAGTACTATAACAACTGCTCGCCCAGAAAGATCTTTAACCACTGCTCCTTTCCTGCCTGCTCACCAGTCCTTCCACCACTTGTTGGTGATAGAGTTAAAAAGAAATCAAGAATTGGAGGAGCTTCAGTTGAGCTAATTGTAGGTAACCTCAAAACAAACTCATATAGTTGGCACACTTGACTTATTTGTGATGTTTTGGACCAATGACACTGTCCCAGAAGGGATGCAGACGTTTTTGTTACACTTTCCAGGAACGTTCACATGGCAGTTTCTAGGAAGATACAGAGTGAGCTTAGGTTACAGTTATGTCATTATCTCTAAAAAAAAAAAAAAAGAAGAAGAAGAAGAAGGAACCATCTAGTGGCAAGACTTGTGCACCCATACAATGGTCTACAATGCAAAAGACTTTCAAACTGAATTTTCTTTTAGGATGACTAAAACCAATTTTTTAAAATAAATTTTATGAGGAGGATTGATTGGCTGTCATTCAAAAAATTTCAAAATTGAGTTAAATTGTGTGTTTTGTCATTTGTTGTTGGAAGTGGTAAATTGGAAAATAAAAATGAGGCATTTAGTATCAGGTTTCCTACAAAGACATTATTTCATTAAATAAAAGTTCATGCTAGAGAGATTGTTAGTATTAGTTTTAGGTTACAGGATTATTTTGGCAAGAGAACTGCAAGAAACACTACAAAGTAGCTTATTAGATGTATTGAATTTTCTTCATTTTTTTTCTAGTGCAGCCTGCCTGTCTCTCTCTGTATTGAATATTGAAGTCAGAGTCTCACACTTAATAGCCAAGTACTCTACCTTTTGAATGATTCCCTAGTCCTTTCCATTTACTTAATTTCTTTTGAGATACAGTCTTGGTAAATTTGCCCAGATTGACCTCAGGTTTACAATCTTCCTACCTCTGCCTCCAAAAAAGCTGGAATAATAAGTCTGTGCCACTATAGTTGGCTTTACCCTTCTTTCTTTGTAGTATTCAATATTTATTCAAAATACTTATTCTTTTATTGCCACTCAGTTTCATGTCATTTTAATGATGATTCATTTCTTGCATTATTTACTTACAACTTACAGTGAGCACTTGTCCAATAGAATATTCATTGGAGAGTACCAAAGATGTCCCATACCAGAAAGCCAGAGCATACGATGCATAGATCAGCATGAAAGCAACACCGATGGAAATGTTGGCTGTGATAGCTTTCTTTATCCCCATTCGTTCAGCTTCTTCTAAATTTTTATTGTACCTGAGAGAAAGAACAGAAATTATCTCATATACTCATAATTTAAGGAAATAAGTCAGTGTTGCATGACAAAATGTGCCCAGCCATGATGTGACGTGCATGTACCTCCTCCTTTACTATTTTATTCCTTTTTGTAGAAGAGGAAACCAAGGCTTATGAGGAGTAATTTATTTGTGGGAAGAGTCTCTCAAAGTTTCTTCTTTGCACTTAGATGTACTGAAATGAGTATAGCAATATATAGCAAATTCCATAATACATATTGTCTCAGACAGAAAACAAAATAGAAGCAATGAAAAAAATTGTTTTCCCTTCAAACTATGCATGCTAGCTGGGAATGTTGGTATATACCTATAATCCTGACTACTCAGAGGTAAAGGCAGAAAGATCTCCAGTTTGAGGTCAGCATAAAGTTATTGACACCCAATCTCAATAAACAAAAAAATTGCTGGTTGAGCATTTGCTTACCAAGTATAAAATCCTGAGTTAAATTCCCAATACTACAAAATAATCTGCATATCTATTTCAATAATTAATAGAGATATAATGCTAAAATTACTAAACCCGAAGTAAGTCATTTAAAAAATCTCTGAACTGTAAGGAAATTTGATGTTGATTTGCTTTCTGTCCTGTTGACTTTAGGAACTGTTGACAAGATCAATGGCAAGATTACACATGCCACAGTGAAGCACCTTTTATGTAATTAATATACCCTAAACACAGAGACGACTACGAAAGCATGTTGGGAACTTCGCAAGGTAATATATACCATACCTTTCACATTCAAATGTAAGTGATCATATTGGGATACACATCTATCTTAAATATAAATATATAACATGTATTTGGTGTAAGAAATGTAATACTCCATCATCTTTTTCCCTCTATACATATTCTCTAGTCATCTTCCCAACATACATCTGCCATGGCAGTCTAGCTGGAATAAAGCCTTGGTGACTTAGTAACTGGGGCATCCTGAAGCCTTTTGCAGCACACTTAAAGTTTTGTAACCTGTTAACATCACAGAGATCTTGGAGAAAACCAGTTAATGTATATGATAAAGTAGAAGTGTTTAACACGGACTGAAGTGATGTAACAAAGGTGTCTACAAAATATTCTTCTTAAATATTATGGAAATGTTGGTCAATAATCCAAGTAGCTACTTAGAACAGCAAGGAACATTTTTTGGTTAAGCAAAAAAAGTACTGATAGATAAGTATCTACATGATATACATAAGATTAAATTAAGGAGAACAAAATTTTTATACTTATTGAAGCAAATGTTTTTATAATTTTAATTAAATTTCCCTTTCAAGAGATCCAGCTTTCTTGTGTACCTGCTATTTTGAACAGAGAGTGGAAAATTGGACATGGTTTCCTTCTTTATGTAGAAACAGAGAAAACAAGGACTGGGAAGAAAAAAAACATGCAGGCTAAGGATAATGTCAATTCTATTTTCAAGTTAAATTCCAAGTCTAGTAACTTGTCATCTTTCTCCCGCCTCCACTTGAAATCAGGACTCTATAGTGGCTCTCACCTGGATCACTGCATCAACCATCACAAGGGTCTCCCTGGTCCCATGTCTTGACTTCTCCCCTCAATTCATCAGGCCCTTTATAAAGAATTGATCTTAAAGCATCATATCAATAATCACTTCTCTGTTTAACAGTCTCAGCCCTTGCTCAAACCCTTGGAATAAAATCCTAACTCTTCTCCATGGCCTACAAGTACCTCATACTCTAGTCCTCCCTCAAATGAGTTCTATTCACACAGTATTTTCCAGCATATACAGAAGTCTTTGCCAGCTCAGGACCTTTGGAAGACTGTTCTTCCCACTCATCCCATCCCTTTCCCTACTTTATAATAAGCAGAAGATACGATGGATGACTACTACTTTTCCTCACCCCTCAGTTCTCAGCCTAGGTGAAACTTGCTCAGAGAGAACTTCACTAATTTGTTTCCCTCATGCATATCCGTGCACTCTTAATCTTTAAAAGTTAGAATTTTAGGCACCTAGCCTGTTTCTCTAAATAGTTGCTTCAGTGATTCTCTCAGAGTGTTTCATGTAGTTACTCCTATTGGTGAATTATAGTTGTTTGTACCTTAGAATATAAGCTCTGTGAGGATGTAGGATTTATTTGAAAGGCTGTTTGTTTAAGCAATGCTTTCCATTTTGTTTGTCAGTCAAAAGTGAAAATAGAGCATAGATATTACTTTCCTCTGAACTATGACACTTAGCTATCACAGAGTTCTTTCTGGGGAGAACTCTATCAAGTGAATAAAAGAGTACTCCAAATATATATACACTCTATTGTGAAAAAATATTCTACAGTGTTAATTCATATAAGCACAACACCAGAGAAAACCAGCTTACTTCAACTCTTATAAAACTTTGCAGCTTCCATACACATAGACATTATTCTTACTGAAAAAATTCCCTTTTTTTTTGGTATGGTTTACCACTCTCCCCACCCAAAAAAACCACTGACATTTAGGCTTTTCTTTTTATCTTTCTCTCTACATTCATATTAAAATATTATGTCAGATTACTAAATTTTAAAGAAGTCTGTTGCTGCTAGGGAATCAAAGGATCTGACGAATATTGGAAAATTCAATAAGTCACCATGTTACTAGAAGTTCAATAAAGGCAAGAGTCACAAAAATAATACTAAAAACACACAATAAAACAGACTTTGAAGTTACTCTTGGTTATATTTTTATCTTGCAAATCATGGACTGTATCACAAGCAAGTAAGAGCCTGGACATGAAAGCAAATAAATCACAGAATAAAATTAGTCTCAAACAAAATAATTATTAATCTTAAAGAATCAATATTTAGCTTGATAAGACAAAATCATCAGAGAAAATATGTTGTTAGTAAGTCATCTTTATGCCCATGTATATCTGGAAATTTCTAAAAACCCTTTGAATTAGTAAATATAAACCAAGTACAACCACAACTACAACTTTTTCAGACTATTAATAATTCTGAAGTTTTAGGAAGAAACATATTTACATTGGAAAATGTTCTCTTTTTTTTTTTGTCAATTCTGGGACTTGAACTCAGGACCTGGGCACTGTCCCTGAGCTTCTTTTGCTCAAGGATAGCATTTTACCACTTGAGCCACAATGCCACTTCTGGCTTTTTCTGTTTGTGTGGTACTGAAGAATCGAACACAGGGCTTCATGCCTGCTAGGCAAGCACTCTACCACTAATCCACATTCCCAGCCCAGAAAACATTCTTATAATTAACCCTGTCAACCTGAAGAGCACATGAGATGACCCAGACCTTCACATTTCTAATAATTTTTAAAAGACTCAAACCTTTCAAGTTCTTTGGTTTGTCCTCCAAAAGCAATCACAGTTCTGATGGCTGCTAAGACTTCTTCAGCTACTGCTCCAGCTTTTGCATATGCCAAGAGTTCTTTATCAGTAAATGAAGACAACACCTATTGCAAAATGAAACTTAACATATTTAATTTTTTAAGTTATAAATACACAGATGCAGCTAGTAAATTAATGCATGCGAAGACCAAATGTGTCTTTTCGCTGTCTTTCCTTGTGATGTTCTGTATTTTGGCATGTACCTTCGCATCAGTAAGCCACCTCAAGTTCTTTTTACATAGAGATGTTAGATTAATTGCAAACTTTCCCACAATAACATCATAAAATCACACCCATATATATATATATATATATATATATATATGGAATGTTCAAGAGATGCTAAACTTCAGAATAGAAAATATATGCCACACCACAATTATGAACAAGTACAAAATGCCAAGAGTATGTGAAGGAAACGTGTTGTGTTCCCAGGATAGGTAGTATTAACAATACTCCTGTTCCGAAGTGTTAGGGTGGGAGGAAGAAGAATTCAGGAGATCAAGTGACTTCAAGAAGGATCCCATGCCAGGATAAATACAGCATTTCCTCTGCTGGTGCTACTGGAAGAAACAATATGTTCAGCCACCAGGGAGGTCTTTGTTTCCTGAATGCTCTTTGATCCTTCAGCTTGGTTGTTGAATATTTATTCTGTAGACAGAACATTCTGGTCACTTTATATGCACAAGATCTCATTAATTCTCAATTGCATGGTGAAAATAGTTAATGGAAATACGAACAGATAAGGAATTGGCTAAGTGTTAATATTCAGGATTTGAATTTGAGTCCATATTGTTTCCAAGTGTGAACCAATAATCCTTAAAATTAACCTCTCTGAAACAAGTCATGGACATATGAACTATTATGAAACTAGTGTGGGCAAAGCAATGTGGTTACCACCTGTAGCAAAGTGTCTCACTATCTAATAAGTATTGTACACTGCCAGTTTATAATGAAATCCTACTTAAACAATTATAGTCTTTCACTATGTCATTCACATGTGTCTTGAAACACTTCTCTTAGCAATACGACTTTTCCTTCTTAGTATGAAAAGATCTTAGTTGTTTTGATTTTTAAGCATACATTACTTCCTTTCTTGTGTGAAAATAAAAGAATCAATGAAGATGGATAGATAAATAATGGGAAATGACTATTTATTAATGATGTTCTATAGGCAGACACTGTCCTCTTTGCTTACTAAACAATATCCCACTGATTCTCCAGACCTTCCTGACTTCTTAAAGTCTTCTTCCTAGGGCTGCCCCTCAATTATCTTCTGCTTTTATACACATCACTAGGTCTGAATTACATTGTCAGCTCCATCCCTGAGCAAATGGGTCTGCAGAGTATTGGAAGCTCACAGGATTTGCTTTCCAACTGCTTCTCTGCTCCTATGGAAACCTTGGGATGCCCCAGCTGTCCACACTGGAGTTGGCCAGTAACAGAATCATTACCAGGAAATAATTTAAACATGGGAGTTCAAAGTGCTATTTTATTTTTGTTAATGTTCCAAGGGCCATACTAAATTTAACAATTTGACCTTCCATAGTTCTAAGATGAGGAGACTATGGTAGAATCTGAGTGGCTACTTTTTAAAGAAACTATGTTTGCTTAAAAAAACATCAACAAAACTTCTCAAAGCTTTTTTTTCAGGTGTAAGAAAAATCAACTTGTAATATTACTCTAATATGAAGGAATAGAAAGATGTGGCATTCCCATGATGACGTTTACCCATAATAGCTACTAAAATTATCACTAACCCATCCTCTTTCTACACCTTGTGATTCTCATCAAAGATTAAGTGGTATTAGCTTGAGATGTGGAGCTGTTATTGCTATAAAAGCATCTAATATAGGGACTGATGTATTGTTCAATATATTCAGAAGCATTATTTAGATTTCTGTGGAAACTTTTAATACAGTGTTAGTCAATTTTTCCATTTCTCAACATACGTTTTTGTTATAATTTTATAGGTTTTTATGTTTTATCTTGTAATTTTAGTTAATTGTAGACTCTCCTGTAGTTGTAGAAAATATTACAATAGTGTGACACCCATTGTCTTCCAATTACATCTTCAAGCTAGAGAACATATCACAAGGCAGAATCCAACACTGGTCACACTGGCTATCTCACATGTGCTCATGAATGTGTCCACATGTACTTCTCAGCTCCCTTGTCATCTACAGTGATGTGTGTGAGCACCACCACAGCCGTGAGGGAGAGCAGCGCCATCACAACCAACCCTCTTGCTATCTTGTTCTTTCTTAACCCAGGGCTTGAATTCTGGGCCTGCGGGCTGCACTTAGCTCTTTTGCTCAAGGCTAGCACTCCATCACTTGTATGGTTGGTTGAACCATTCTTCTACTTAAGGAGATCTAGTGTTTTTTTTTCTAAAAGTTTTAAAGCTTTATATTTTATATTTGAATTTGACTCTCATTTTAAGTTATTTTTTATATCAAGTGCTGAATTTTGGTTGTTTCTGTTCTTAATTTTTGGCCCATGTATGTCCAGTTCCTTCAGTACCATTGTTGAAATATCTGGTCTTCCTCTATTGAACTGTTATACATAAATGTATAGGTCTACTTCTGGACTCTGCTTTGGGTGATAATGTTGTGTCAGGTTAAACTTTGGTTGACCTTCTATTACTTAAAACTTTTTCTACATAAATTTCTATGACTTTGCTATATCATACGGAACCCAACAAAAGCTATATACTATGTAAATCTCTCCACCCAATTCTTACATTTAGACTAAATCTTTAATAATGTGAATTACATGCCCACACAGAAAGGAAAATAAGTTTTAAAATATCTGAGAAGGTTGTTTTGAGGAGGGGAGGCCACTTTTACTGTCCTTGATTCATCTCTGGAAAAGAGAATTGGAAAATATGGGTTTACATGTGTCTAGGAGTAGAGAATATTTTCATATTGTTCATATTATGATGGGTTTGAGTATGTATAAACTGGCATTTACATGTATGACAAACTATAAAATCAATTTATGAAGTAAAAATAAAGCTATACCCAAACCTATTAAAACGCAAAAATATTCAATGAATGATGCATGAATTGTTCACTGATCTTGAATCTCTACTTGCTGAGTGAACATGGCATTGCTCACTGCATTGTCTACAAATCTTAAGCATTCACATGTCCTATTTTTATGACAGTTGTATGAGATTTATGAGCTCCTTCCCTCCTCCCCAAATAATCACATAGGCAGGAATCCTGGGTAGTACTAAGACTGGATCAGCTTATCCAGATAATTTTTTAAAGAAGATGTAGAACAAATATCAAATTCAGAGTTTGTGTTACTATGACTAAAAACCTCTCTCATAAGGTCATGGGAAGACTTTGATGTCTAGATTCATTGGCCTTACTTACCTTTGTCCAGATACCGGCCGATAGTCCAAGGACTGGGCTGATGGCCAGAATGACAAGGGTTAGCTTCCAGCCATGTGTAAATCCTACTATAAAACCACTGCAAAAGGTCGTCATTAACTGAAAGAACATTCCAATTTTCTCTCCAATTCCTTCATTAATTTTAGAGACATCACTAAAAAAGATAGAGAATGTTAGAGTCATGTCAAAGTACAAACAGTATTTTTCTCCTGGATCTAGTTTTGCTTTCATTTACTGGGAGCTTGGGTACATTTGTGTGTATCTCAGGTCTATGTGTGTATGTTTATTTTATTTGGCACATTGTCAGTATTTAGTAGGAAATTTTGTCATTAACAACAGGAATCTGCAAACTTAGGGCCCAAGGTCATGGACATGATGTACTCAAGAAACAGTCAAGGTAGACATTTCAGGTTGCTAGGAAATTTCCCCAGAAAGTATCTCATTGTAGCTCTTTCTGCACATTGCTGTACGAGCACTCCTAGTCTTTCTTGCTTCTGTCAAGTGCAACTCCTCATTCAGTGCTAGTCTTACATCTTCTCATCCTCTACAAAAGTATGAGTGTGTGTGGAGGTGGGAGGGGGGTACATGAGACATGGTTGCTGTTCACAAGGAATTGAAACTTGCAATTAATCACTTCTGTATGTAACACTGACATTTCTAAATAGTTCTGATGACATTGATTTCATTTCCTTCAGAATAAGAACCAGATTGAAGTTAAACATTAAACTAGGTACTTACTCTGTGAGCCGGGTGTTAAGCTCTCCCACGTCATGCACATCAAACCAGCCAATCTCTTGTTTCATTATAGCATGAAAAAACTCTTTCCTAATTCTGTTAATTTGTCTTCCAGCTGCCAAACACCAAAATGACACCTGAATGTATGCAGCAACAAGCACGCCAGCACCAATTCCAGTGTAATAATAGGCATACCTAAAAAAGAACACCACACTCATTGTTCCAGTCATAATCAATGTTAATGCCCTCAATAAGATCACCCAGTATTTCTTTTTCAGCCATGTGAGTATTGGGTCATCCTTAGTGTGTGCAAAGGATTGGAACAAATTGATGGTCAACATCAACTATGTCTGCACTGATTTTGAGGAATGGTTAGTGGTAGCTTGTTTCAGCACAATGTTCAGCTGCTGTGTAATCTATAGCAAGCTGCTTAACCTTTGCAGACTTCTAATTGGCAAAATAGATATAAGAACAGTAACTCAATAATGTGAAAGATGTACCTGTAGAAGTGTCTGGCACATAGTAAGTACCCAGAGAATGCCAGCAATTGTGCTAGACCTGCAGAATCCAGAAGGGCATCAGGTGAGATTCACCATTAAGTCCTTATATGCTTTTATTATGTCAGCATTGCCTAGTGAGCTCTATGGGGGGTATTCTCTGCACATTGGACATGGAAGAAGTAATGGGCTTGTCAGAAAGTGGAACCCCAAAATGGTTTTTTGGCCGATCATTAATCTAAGAGAGATGGTGTGTTAAGTGACAGCTGAAAACCAAGCATATCCACTTCTGTGTAAGTGCTGATCATAAGCTGCCCTAAAATGTGCAGTGAATCGCATGGCCTTCCTATTTTAACTCTTTGACAATAAAAATGATAAGCAATCTGAAAACACACTTTGGATATTTTGAAAAAAATAAATGATACTTTAGCTTCACTAAAAATGAATGTTTAAAGACAAATATTTAAACAGACACAGAATATAAATTTCTCTATTTTAAAATCCATTTACATGTTATCTTCTAATTATATTTTAAACATGTAGGACAAATAAAAATGGCTATCTTAGAAGCAGATAATCTCTGATGTTGTCACTCATAATTCAGTGTACATTCCATATGGAATCTTGCTTTAAATATCATTCCTTAAGGGACTGAGAATGTGGCTTAGTGGTAGAGTGCTTGCCTAGCATGCATGAAGCCCTGGGTTCAATTCCAGAGTACCACATAAACAGAAAAAGCTGGAAGTGGCACTGAGGCTCAAGTGGTAGAGCTCTAGCTCTAGCCTTGAGCACAGAGAGGTTCAAGGGCAGTGCGTAGGCCCTGAGTTCAAGCTCCAGGCCCAGCCAAAAAAACAATCTTTCCTTAAGCTAGATCTTATAATTTAACTAATATATAGCTCTAAAATTAATTTTTTTCAGGTCATGGGGGCTGAACTCTGGTTCTGGGCACTATCTCTCAGCTCTTCAGCTCAAGGCTAGCACCCTACCACTTGAGTCACAGTGCCACTTCCGACTTTTTTTCTGCATATGTGGTGCTGAGGAATCAAACCCAAGGCCTCATGCATGCAAGGCAAACTCTCTACCACTGAACCAACTTTCCAGCCCTAAAATTAATTTTTATGCATGTGCTTATGATGTAGCAAGAAGAAGATGAAATAAAATCCCATTAAGAAGCAAAATTTATGCTTTGGAAATCAATACTCTATTTTAATGTGACATTTTTAAACAAGAAAGACACTTGCTTTCAAATTCAAATACAGTAAATTTTCACAGAATGAATTTGGTATTTGAGTGTCACCTTTTAAAATATAATCAAGTATCTCCTCCAAAACAGATTATGTAATTGCCTATAGCATACTGTAGAATTATCATCATCTGATTCACTAACACATAGCTTTGGACATTTGCTATAAGCTATTCTGGGGAGTAACATTAATGATATGTAAATCAAAACAAAAATTCCTGAGGTAGGTTAAGTTCTGAGTGATTATCTTAGTAATGTGATGTCTTATTTCATTGTTTAGAATTAAGTTTTTAAAAATTAATGTTGCCTAATGTTATAATTATGTAACAGGAAGTATCAGGAAGCTAATTACAAAGCAATTGACAGCAATTTGACTAAATTTTTTAAAAAAATAATTGAACTCTCTATTTTCTCTGTATGTATCAGTCACATGTAAGTCTAATTGAGGGTTAATCTTCAGTGCATTTTATGTAACAAATTCTGTAGGTAGGTAGGTAGGTAGATAGATAGATAGATAGATAGTGTGTGTGTGTGTGTGTGTGTGTGTGTGTGTGTGTGTGTGTGTGTGTGTGTGTGTATGCCAATAGTGGCAATTGACCTCCAGGCCTTGACATCGTTCCTGGGTTTTTTTGCTCAAGGCTAGCACTCTACCAATTGGTCCATCTCTGGCTTTTTGTGGTTAATTGGAGATAAGAGTCTGATGGACTTTCCTGCCTTGATTGGCTTCTAACCATGATCCCCAGATCTCAGCCTCCTGATAGCTAATATTACAGACATAAGTCACTTGTACCTGGACAAACATAAAATATACATTGTGTCCTCCTTGAAATCTAATAATGTGTTAAAATATGTCTGTAACTGGATTGATACAGAAAAGGTTTATAAACAACAATAAGAAAAATGTCTCATTACATGGTCATATCTTCCTCCAGTTTGTTGAAGATCTGACTTCTGTTGATTTCACCTAGATCATGACAAAACAAATATATATCAGTTATAGCATTTTTGTTCCCATTAAAAAATATATACTAATTGATCAAATACATTTCAATTAATTAATTATACCAATAGGTCAAATTGACTCAAGTATAATTGTATGTATTATGAAGATCCACCTAAATATTTCCTGCTGTATGCAAACACACATAGCTAAATCCAATGATGCATATTTGCAAGAAGAAATCCATGTTCATGAATACCAATGCTTGAGTATGTACTCCCTCCTTTCCTCATAACTGATTCTAGCTTATTATTCATGATGTTAATTATGTTTCTATCCTTCTTTTGACTCTCTCTGGAACAGTTCTGACCTCAAAGAGTCTTCTCTTTATGTGGACATATCCCTTGTCCATTTCCATTGTCCATTCTAATGTTGGTGACTATTATCTTCTCGGCTTATTATAAACATTAGCTTGAATTCAAATCCTTAAATAAATAGGGTATATTTAATATGGACCAACAAATGTCACTTTAAGGGAATGTTTTTCACAAGCTTCCAAGAAAATCAGTGCCATAAATAATACTTACTATAATTAGTAATGTTTGGTGGTAGACTACTTCCTGCATTTGCAAAGCTATCTGTCATTTCTCCAAACACCAATATCATGAGCGGCATTGCAGCTCCATGGACCACAGCGGCCAAAGTTCCTAGCACCATGTACAGCCTGTCAAACCAATCTGCATAGCGAAACTACCAAAAGAAAGAACAACATAGGCAGGATGAGCAGTTTTGTGGATGGTTTACTCTGTCTTCAAATATTTACATACTCCTGCTGTTAAGCTGTCCTCTACCTTTGCTATGCTACAACTGCTATCTGATTAGAAATGTGTATTTGACCAATTTCTGACCTATTATTCCTAATGGGCTCTGTCTTCTTATGTTAAAGATGATGTAAAACTGAAGTCTTTATTGAAACTACAGAAGAAACATAGTACTTGTGGTTTAGTATCTAAGAATAAAGGTCAGTTTTATCTCACAGAAAAAACATGAATGCCAAAGATCTCTCAGGGCACCACTAAGGGGAACAGTGTGTGTGTGTGTGTGTGTGTGTGTGTGTGTCTGTGTCTGTGTGTGTGTGTGTGTGTGTGTGTATGTGTGTGTGTGTGTGTGTCTGTGTGTGTCTGTGTCTGTGTGTCTGTGTCTATGTCTATGTCTGTGTCTATGTCTGTAGGTCTGTGTACTGATATCTGGATTTGAATTTGTAGTTTGGCTGAGCTTTCTTATTCTGCTATTTGAGACACACCTCCAATCTGGTATTTTGCTGGTTAATTGAAGATAGAATCTCTCAGACTTTTCTGTCCAGGTTGGCTTTGGACCACAGTCTTTCCAGGTCTTAGCTTCCTGGGTAAATAAGCAAGACATGAGCCACTAGTAGAAACATTTTATCATTTAAAAAAGTCTCCTGAGTTAAGGATCTAGTACACAATGGAATTAGCATAAATGAAAAATAATTTTTAACATAATTAGGCTTTAATAATGAGGAGGAGAGAAAAAGAGTGAGATGGATACATATTCTTTAAGGAACAGTTTCCAAAGAGATAGAACATGGCTTTAGAAAATGGCCAGAACAGATACGCACAATTTCTGCATAGAAATCACGGAAAGGAAAGAAAGACTTCTTGAGATACAAAAAGTGAAGGAACATACAGTAAGAACAAGCTCAGGGCTCACCTGAGAGGTAGTTAGTAGTTTCACAATATGACTCAAGTACCTCGTTTAGAAGTGAAAGAAAAGCAAATTAAAAACAAAAAAATAAATACAAAAACAGGACAAAGCCAACTGTGGGAGTTAGTGGTAAACCCTAAAGTAGGTGGTTGTAGGCTTATAGGTAGCTATACGTAGCAGGCTTATAATCAGAGAGAAAAGCTGGTAACAAGTCTTACTTGTAGCAAAGGAATGTACATCAAATAATGATCAAGGCTCAGGCAACACAAAAGACACAGTTTCTGAAAGCAAGATCTTAGAACTTTTGTACATTTCACACATAGACAATCCTATGGTTACCTAATGAGGACCTTACAGAACTACAATTGTATTAAAGGGAAACAAGTACTGAATTAACCAGTAGAAATAAACAACAGAATAGCTATTGGCACTTCATGAAGTGGAAGAAATAGCCAAACTAGCTTTAGGAAATGATTAGTAAACGAGGAGGAGAGTGAGGTCAAGGGAGGGAGCAAACCAAAGACAGAGGAAAGGTGGGCAGCTGCAGTTATATTACTGATGTATATGAAAACATGCAACTAGGTAAACTGAAGGAATGGTGGAGCTGGGAGAGATGGGGTAGAATGATGAAATGGGTGACACTGATCAAGACCCATTGTATGCACCAGCTGACACATTGAACTGAAACCCCTTTGTACAAAATTCAAAAAATAAAAATATATAAAAAAGAAGGGAAAGATTAGGTAGGGTCATGTTATAACTATAGGCAAGAATTTAGCTATTAATCTGAATTTCTTTATATGTAGAAAGGAGAAACATTGTAACAGTTGAAGGGAAGAAGAGAGGTGATGCTACTATAAAGCTGCTATGTCCTCTGAGACCCCTGGGAAAGGCCTCTGCGGTTGGGCCTTGTTTCTCCTGGATATGTCTCCATGTGACTTGTCATGGTGGACTTTGCTTTGAATCCTTTTTCTATAATAAGACTTGGTTTGCAAAGCATCTGTATCATAGGCAATAATGTTTACCCAAAGTACAATGATTGCTAATTGGAAACTTTCCCCAATCTGAGATGTAAGCACAAAGACATGAGTCCTAGTAAGCCATCTTGAAAACCCCTGATATACATGGGTCTTAGTTTTAGCTGGAATATCCTATTCATGGGCGTTTGTAATAACTTTGGCATTTTACTATGAAACTTGGTGATTCTGACCTTGTGTTTATAGATTTTATATACAACCTAGTTCCACAGTTTCTATATGTCAACTATATACTGAAATACCATGGGGAAAAAAGCCATTTAAGTAATATTGAATTTTATCAAGTCTTAGAATATATTCTTTCCACCCTGGCCCTGATGTGCGTCCTGGCAAAGTTTCTTTTGTACGATTGTAATATTAATAGTCTCTATCCTAAAAGGCATGTTAAAGATTAAATAAATATATACATAAGATATTTAAAATAACTCCTGGCATACATTACAAGGTAAATGTGTGATTATTATCAACACCTAATAATATACTAGTTTTTGAGAAATTCTAAAAACAAATTATAAGCACTAAATGCTAATGCTGGAAGTGAAGCATTAGTAGATCATGTGCTTACCATGCATGAGGTGCTCGATTTCCTTAGCGTGAAAATGAAACAAAAGAAACATCTAAACTGTTCAAAAGAGAAATGGTTTGTTCTCATATAAATAAACTGAAATTAAATTTTGAGAATAAATTCCAACTTTTATATAAGATCACCTTTCACACAAGAAAGAATGAAATGAAACACAAATAAAACCTCAATTGTTTACACTGCATGCCATCTTGTGAATGACTGAGAAGGAAATTGTCCAGAGGGAATAGGGAAAGAACAGAAGGAACCATGGAAAGAGGGTAAGAGAGATAAGATGGTGGAAGATGAGCAGAGTTCTCAGTGTAAAACTCATCTGGCTGTTTTCCTATCTATAGCCATTTTAATCTTCAATTTAGTAAGACCCATTTTACATGACAGTTTATAACTGATCCTCTCCATCTAGCGTAGAATGATGGATTGAAGAGTGTGCACTGCTAAGATTTAATTCTTAGTTGATTCTGGAGTCTTTTGAGTTCCTAAATTCATCTAAGTTTGAATTCTGAATAACTACCATACCCATTTAAAAAATCCTTGTTTTATTCCAAATGGGATTAAATTAAAGCTTCAAAACAACCACTATAGTATATGCTAATTCTTAGTAATAAATAATCCATTTTTTAAATAGGTGCTTGGGACTTTGGCCTTAAGCCTACCAGGATTACAGAGTCTAAATTAAGGACAGGGGACAATGTAAAAGTTCTTTCTAGCCAAGTGCTAAACTTAGCACTACAAGAAATGTCTGTGTAGGGAATAGACCACTGACAATATAACTGAGTAGAATAATGAAATCTAGGCAAGGAAGAGTGGCTGTTACGGCTTGATTCACATTGCAAGTTATGATCAGCCTTTTTCTGAAAATAAACTGAATCCAGCCAGTTCATTCTATTGCTGCATTCATTCTATTGCCATATTCTCAGAAGAAAATAATATGCCAGATGAAATATTTCTATTCCAGGGAAAAAGAGGTCAAATTTCTCAGTTTTGTGTTGTGAATGGATTCAAAACTCACCATTGCAAATGTACTGACAGTTGGTTTTCTTTCCTTCTCCTTTTTACTGAAATACATAGCAAAAAAAGTAAACAGAAAATTTTAAATTGCATAAAAATTTAAAATTACCAAATAAATTTATAAAGCTCATATTTAATGATAACTAGGAAAAGAAACATGCATATACTGTTCAAGAAGAAGCAGGTTGGTAGTGTGATATCATTTATAAAGTTTTAATATAATTAAGTTTACATAAGTCTTATAAATAAATATATGTAGCCCTTTATTAATGGGGATTAAGATGTCTTTTAATAATTTTATCATGTACACTGTATAGTTTTTGTTTTTAATGATGACACATACATACAAACATATTTACACACATACAAAACCAGATATAATTTGGGGAGGGGAACAAACAAGTTGTTTAAATAGGGATACAGGTGGACCCATTGCAACAATGAGATGTACAAGATGTTATGTCAAAAAACAAACTTTGGCACTGGGGAAGGGGGGGTTTGGAGGGGGGGTGGAGATGGGAAGGGATGGGAAGGGGAAACAAAGGAGGAGGCAACAATGCTTGATAAGAAATGTACTCATTATCTTGCTCATGTTATTGTAACCCCTCTGTATGGTATTTTCACAATTTAAAAAATCCTGAAATTTGGAAAATACACACTGAAAAAGCATGCTTTGTCCTTGATTTTCATCTTAGTAATTCTAGCAGTCTTCTATCTTTGTACAACAAGATATTATTCTAAAACATTTCCTTTAGTGAAGACACAGCATTGATAATCAGATCCTGGACAAAATAGCCTGAGAAACAAAGTAATTAGATCACACTATGAGCAAATCTAATTCTGACAAAAGGGATGGCTGCTTCTCTAAGTAGACTATTATGGAAATGAATGCAATCTAGAAAAGCTGGATGCAAAAAGAGATGTTCTATAGAACGTTCATAAGCCATTCTTAATCACAAAAAGATCAATCCTTATTTTGAGCTGTGAGTCAAATGAAGCTAACTCAATGACCCTTGTTTGCCACTGTATGCAACTGCCCTCTGGGATGGGGAAACAAACTAACCATAACAAACCAGACTTACTTTTGGTGTGTGTGTGTGTGTGTGTGCGCGCGCACGCACGCGTGTGTGTGTGTGTGTAGGAAGAAAAGACTATTTTCCATTCCTTTGGTACAGATTTTTAAGCTTAAAAAGTAAAAAAATAAAATTAACTTTTGTCTTTCATCTTTACTGAGGCCAGAAGAGGTGAAGAGATGTCCAAAGAAAAACCCAAAGTTAACTTGTATCTGGCTTTTGAGTGACAGCAGAAGGGCACAAATACAAATCTTTCAGGTTTGGTTCTACTCTCTTCTCAATAAAGGCCATTCAATATATTCAAAACCAGGAAGAGAGGAGAGCAATAGCCATAAATGGATTTTAGCTCTGAGCATTTTATCTGGAGCTAGATAGCTCGGGTGGTCCATTGCCTGCAGTAAGCCCAAGGCCCTGAGTTCAAACCCTCGTACTTCCAAATCTACAGTATCTTTACACATTTTTCTCTCCCCCTCTATCTCTTTCTCTGTTTGCATGACCATTTCTTTATATACAGTGTCAGTGCCAGTTAAAACAAAAGGGGAAGATAAAACCAAAATGTAGTTCTGCCCTCCGACCATACATGTTGCAAGCATGCAATGCTTACATCGCTGTTGCTCCGAAGCATGCGCTGGACCTCAGAGTACAGCCCTGACCACAAATGGCTCTGGTGTGTGGATGATCCGACATGGTTTAAAAAGCAGAAGGTAATAAAACAGAAAAGGATGTGCGCCGTGGCCTGCCCAGGGGAGCAGGAAAGTGCAGAAGAGATTCCTCAAGACAGAGGGGGGTGCAGAGCCTGGGCCCGACTCAGCACCGCTCTGGGCGAGAGACTGTTTCCAGGGGCTGGCTTACTTTTCTGAGGATGAAACTAACAACCACCACCCCCTTTTATGTCAGAGCTGGAGCTGGAAAACCTTGCCCAAAGTTCTCATGTGAAACTAGTGCCTACCTCTTTTTGTTGAGCTCTGAGTTCTTCCCTGCTCCATCGTTGTCTTTTGTGGAGTCCATGAGGACCTGAGGAGAAAGCACAAGCCATGAGCGAAATCCCCGGCCCCGCAGGGCAGCAGGCAGCCACAGGGGAGAGATCTCCACGCATCTGCCGCCTGCGCCCAGGGCAGTGAGTGAGTCAGGGCGCTACGTGTCTGCGATGCGCTCTGCCTGGGAGAAGCACAGGCTTCCTTTCCTGGGCGCTGCGCCTTAGGCGCATCTGCTTGGAAGGAGATGGAGATTGGAGGTCAAGTTCAGGACCTCGTCTGCGGCACCGCAGCTCTGCCCTGCTGGGGTTCCCCTCACCGCGGGAAGTTTCCTCCCTCCTGTCTGGGGTCTGGGAGATCCCGGATCCCCTCCATAGGGCAAGCACCGGAAACTATGCGGTGGAGACTGCTCTATGAACAACTGGTGTGACTCCAGGCTCACGCCTAAGGACTGGCCAAAAAGGACCCTTCACATCGCCCCAGGACCCCTGCTCCCATGAGATCCACACCCTGAAAAGTGGGGAGACCGATCTATCTTGGGAACTGCCCCATGCCGGTCCCTGATTTCTCATGCCCTACCTGGGCCTTTCCTTTGGACTGTCCGCCAAGACGAGGTCTTCGGAATTGACTTGGAGTTCACTGGGAAAGACCTGCAGTTAAAAATAGTGGACAGCCTTCTTTGTGATGCAGAACTGGAATGCAGCTAAGTTTCCTGCAGACAGCAGAGTAAAGGAGGAGCCCTCCATCCACCCCCAGGGGAAGTCCAGCCCAGCAGCCCAGCCTGATCCCTTGAGATGCTCCTGGCCTCAGTTGACAGAATTGATGGATAAGTTGCCAAGCAGACTGAATAACCAAAAAGGAGGCCCTGTCTTCTGTCACCCCACTGCAAAAAGCAGATAGAGAAAGGTGTACCATCAGGCAAGGCACATATTCACAGGAGACATGTGTCTCCTGTCCATCAGCCTTCAAATAGTGTCTGTACATATGCACAATTCACTCTGGGTATAGCATAGTTAAAGGTCTCTGGCATCACATCTAATAGAGTTTGTAAAAACAAGCTCACACTTTGGCACTTGTGTCATTAAATTTCCTCTCTACAACACCTCAACAAAGATATTTATTTTCCTGCAAGTCTTTTCAGAATGTTTGACAGTTTCTGAGATGTATGTATTGGTTTATCTTTTTTAACACAATAAATGCAGGGAAATAAAAATGGTCATTTTGACTAGATAAATAGAGATGAGGATTTGAGGTTAAAATTGTTATTTTAACATTCATTTGATCATGCTTTTAGCTGTCAAATCAATGACTGATTTCCCCAGCATATTTGAAACTCTTACATTTCAAATTGGGTTATTAGGCATATTTTAGCATAAATTTTGTTGCAGTTCTTTTCTATATTTACTGCTAACACATAATATCTTCCCTGTTTATTTTTTTTCGGATTGACCATAAGTAAATGCAGTTTTCACAGTGTAGATTCATAGAGCACAATTAACAGAAGAACTCTTTTTTCTTTCCCTTCCTTCCTTCTCTGTTTTTTTGAAAAAGAAGGAAGAAATTTATTAGACTAATATAATTTTTCTCAAAGCTAAAACCCTGCCTCTTTGGTGGTAAATGGAGTAAGAATCTCACAGACATTTTTGCTTAGACTAGTTTTGAACCATGATCTTCAAATCTCAGGCTTCTGAGTAGCTATAGGCTATTTATTGGTGCTTGGGCCAATCCATTGCATGATCATACCATATCCAAGACATAGTATTTGTTTTATACACAGTGGTCTTTTAAACACCACTAACATATGTACGACATTATATTTCTATTATCCATTTATTACTTGGATGCATATAAGGAAATCAGAGGTACGGGATGGCAAAGAAAGGGAAGAATGATGGAAGGGGTGACATTGACCAAGATGCATTGTACTATACCTGTCTGGAATTAAAACCCCTATGTACAACTACTTAATATTTTTAAATGCTACCTTTATTACCTACATACGAGGTTAGACAGTAACATGGGAGAAAATATCAAATCTTCCAAAATATATATGTTGAAATCCTAACTCCAGAAATGATGATTGGAGGTGCTGCCTTTAGATGTTTGGGTCATGAGAATGGGACTCTTTCCTTCAGTGAAGGACACAGATGGAAAATACTATGAAGAGAAAGCAGGTCCTCCCCAGACACTGAATCTCTGTTGATCTTCAGTTTCCCCACTCTACACGTATAAAAGATAAGTTTCTGTTGTTTATCAGCTACTTATTTATGCCATTTTGTTATAATAGCCCAAGTAGAATGAGACAATTAGTAACTTATGTGTTACCTTATAACCTCACATGAGTTTTCAAACTGATGATGGTCTACTCATTGTACCTTGGAACATACTCAAAGTGACGAGGCCTTATTTTGGAAGTAAATCATGCTTTTAAGTAAATGCTGCATGCTTGACATGCCTCCTCAGGGTAGGTGTAGGTGTAGGTGTCCTCAACTTGTGGCCCACAGCCTAATTTAACTCTTTCTTGTATAACCTGTAAGTTAAGAACAGTTTCCAGCATTTTTCATTATTACTTTTATTTAGAAGGGTTGCTCCCCCCCCATTCATGCATTGTCACTGAAAAAATCAATAGAAATACTTTGTGACATATGAAAATACATAAAATTCCCAGTGTCAATAAATCAAGTTTGAAGCGAAAATTTTTCGGTCTCTTTTATGTTTCTGTCATTGCCAAATGAAACCCAGGAAAACACGAGCTAAAACAAATCTTTCCTCATTTAAAGTTATTTTGGAGAAGGTATTTTTTTCACAGATGTAAAGTTGACTGAAATGTGATCTTGAAAGATTTGTAAATCTTCATATAATCCTGTAAATCTTCTCATAATCCTCTTACTTAGGCTAGTCTTGGCTGTAACCTCCTACTAGTGCTTCCTGTGTAACTGGGGATAACAAATGCCTGCCATTGTGTTGTTTCCTTAACTGAGATGATAGGCATATATTACTGTGCCTTTGGTTAAGATCATCTCAACCATCTCAAGGAATCATTCATCTCACTGTGGCAGGCACTTTAGCCCAGATGATATAAAAATGGACAGACATAAAGTTCCACAAGCTGTGCATGCGCACACACAGAGACTTTTTAAATTTTTTATTGTTATTTTAATGGTGATGTTCAGAGGGGTTATAGTTACATAAGTCAGGTAATGAGTACTTATGTTTTTGGACAATGTCACCTCTTCCCTCAGTCTCTCCCACTCTTTTCCTCTGATCCTACTGACAATTTGTTCATTGTCAACACAGTATCCAGTAAGTAGCACTGAACAAAGATACTTTTAAAGGCAAAACTTTATCAAAATAATATTATCTCATAGGTTGTTTTCTTTTTATTTTTTATACACAAAATGGAGCTTACACATTTAAGTGACTACTACTGTTCTTAGAGAAAATATCCAAGGAAGCAATGCACCAATTCTGGTAATGCCCGAAATAACTTGAAATTCTTTTGAATTTGTCTTCAACGTGTACAGAAATATGTCTTCAGTTGAATGTCTGCAACAGTGTCAAATTTTGCCTTTTACTAGTTTTAGAAACAGAGAGAACCCAGCATTGCTGCTGAGACAGAGACCTGAGCATCAAACCAAGGGAGTTCAAGATTTGGTTGTCCTTTTTTTAAAACAAAATTATTATTAAAAATTTTGAGATCAGGTCTTGAACTCCCGGGATCAAGTGATTTCTGGAACTTGCCTGTGTGGCTAACTTCTGGTCATTTAAAATCAGACAACTCATTTCTTCTTCATGAAAATGAAAACTCTTATTTGTAAAATGGCACCCCAAATGGAAAGCAGTTGGCATAGAACCCAAAAGTTTTAATTAGTAATGTTTTCAAGTGTTGTTCTTGAGTGAGTGCTTTACATAAGAGCTTTGATTAAAAATGAAATATAAGCTGGTGGTTATAACACTCAAGAAGCAGGAGGAATGAGAGTTCACGACCAGCCTAGGTCACTGCACACTGGGTATGCATTAAGTACTTAGTTAGAGCTATCTTAGTCCATATCTATTTAATCATTCTCTTCCTTTATAGTCCTTTACCCTCAGACATCAGCACTGTGGAATGCCTGACATAAAAATAGCATTACCTTAGAAGTCTTTTTTGATGTGCCATTTCCTGTTTAATTTTCTAAGTTGTTTCATGATTCAGATTGAACCTTGGTGATCTGAAGTTTACTCTCTTGGGGACAAGGTTAAATCAGTTCAATGAACTGATTTCTCTCTTTCTTTTTTGAGATAAAATATCTATTCAAACACACCTATTGTCAATAAATGGCAAGAAAATAAATATTCAGACATACTGCATAAATACAATGTGGCATTCTAAAATGTTTCCATCTCAAATGTTATATCTATGTGGTAAAGCAGCCACAGTGTGAGAAAAACAGAGTCATCAGCTTCTCAATTATTTTTTTAAAACTCTATCCTTTTGCAAAAGACGTATCTATTTAAAATAAATGTCTTTAAATAGCATTGTTCTAAAAGACCAATGCACAGTTGGTTACATCTCATTTTGCAAGTGTAACTTAAGTTAGGGAATATTTTAATTTCCTTTCAGCAATTCATTCATTGATTCAACAATATTAACTGAGCACCTGCTAAGTGACATGTGCTATTCTAAGTGCAGAGCATATATCTTTGAATGAAGTAAAAACCTTTGCTCAAGTATTTGATGGACAAAACCTAACAACTAAGTGGTATAGTATATTCAAATGTGGAAACTCTAAAAGAAAATAGAACAGGGGAAAGATACTGAGAGTATCAGACCGAGAAAGACAACAATTTAAGAATATAGTCAAAAGGGGCATCATTTAGGAGGGGATATTTGTGCCAAGACATGACTGAGCTGAGGAGAGTTTCACTGTAGGATAATTCTCATGTGAGCTTCTCTCTACATTAATAGCTGCTCAGGCTTGTAAGAGAATACAGAAATTAAGTTCTGTAGCTCCTTTACAACAAACCTCTGAAATGCTGCAGAGCTTGACCAAA